AGACCTCCATCATGTGAAATTTGCTATTGGAGATTAACAGATGCATTAAATGTAACAGTCTTACTGGCGATTTCTGTATAATGAACACTTGCTTCAGCTTTCAGTCTATAAAATATGCATTTGTCCTCATACAGATAAAGGATAGGGAATGAGTGGGAGCATCACCAGAGCACATTTAATCACATGTGTGAACTTGACATCTAAATTTTGAGACACTGGGATTTGCACCTCTGTTTCCTGAAATATGTATTATATATCAGCCAATTAAATAAATATGAGTGAGTAGATGGTTCTCTAAAGCAATTTAAAGACCAAGTAAGAGTAAGCATCTAGAATGAAGAAAAAAATTGTCCAAATAAATCTGTTTAACCTCATAAGAACACATTTTCTCTGAGACAAGACATATAAATTATACTCTAACAGTAATTTTCATTTCACAGTCCTAAAAGTATATTTCAATATACTGCAAATGGAAACAGTTCTTTTGTAAGTGATTTCTGAAGAGAGATATCAGGGCGGTGTTCTCTGCAAAACAAAGTCTGTCCAAAAGGTCCAACTTCTTTGGTACTCTCTGAGCTTCCAGGAAATCCAGGAAGCTCAGAGAGTACCAAAGAAATTGGACCCAAGAAGGAACACACCAAGGCACATCATCATTATATTAGCCAAAATTAAAATGAAGGAGAGAATCCTAGAAGCAGCAAGAGCTAAGGGGACAGTCACCTACAAAGGAGTCCCCATCAGACTGTCAGCAGATTTCTCAAAAGAGACCTTACAGGCAAGAAGGGGCTGGAAAGAGGTATTCCAAGTCATGAAATCCAAAGACCTACAACCAAGATTGCTCTATCCAGCAAAACTTTCATTTAGAATGGAAGGACATATAAGGTGCTTCTCAGATAAGATCAAATTCAAGGAATTCAAATTCATCACCAAGCCCTTATTATATGAAATGTTAAAGGGACTTATCTAAGAAAAAGAAGTTAAAGAAACATGAACCATGAAAGGACAACAAACTCACAGTTATTAACAACCACACCTAAAACGAAAGCAAACTAAAAGGACAGCTAGATCAGGAGTGGAAACATAGAAATGAAGATCTCAAGGAGGGTTAGCAACAGGGGAGTGGGAGGAGGAGAAAGGGGGAGAAGGTACAGAAAATAAGTAGCATAGACAGTATATAGAAAATAGATGGGGGGCAAGAATAGCATGGGAAATATAGAATCTAAAGGATTTGAGACACTTGGTCATAAACTAAAGGGGGGGTAATGGGGGGGATGGGGGGATAGGGTGGAGGGGAATGAAAGGGGGAATAGAACAACTGTAACAGCATAATCAATAAAATTTTAAAAAAAAAGGTGGACCCTGCCATGTAGCATGAAAAATAGAGACATTTATTAAAAGAGACACAATATACAAGAAACATTGTATATAGGACTGCGACACCTCAGTCCCCTTCAAAGGAGGCATACGGGGACCTCACACAATTCTCCCAACCACCATCAGTTGCCCCTTTGTAGTTTCCTGAATCTCATCGATGGTCCAAAATCTCTTCCCTTTCAAAGGGAATTTTAGTTTCGGGAAAAGCCAGAAGTCACTAGTTGCCAAATCTAGGCTGTTAGGGGGGCTGAGTCACCTGGGTGTTTTGATGTTTCACCAAAAAACTCTGCACGAGACGAGATGCATGAGCAGGCACATTGTTGTGATGAATCTGCCAATCACCAGTTGCCCATAGCTACAGCCTTCTGAATCATCTCAATAGTTTCTCCACAAAAGAATGTTCAAGCTTCACACAGAATCTGATGCAGATTTGTTGCTCTACTTACTCAGTCATTTTGAATGTGACAACCACACAGTACACACATTCACTCAATGGCATCTACCACCCTCACTGACTGAGTACAGTGAGGTTATCATTGTTCACACATGCACATTCCAGTCCACTCTCCTTGGCTTCCAGGTCGCACAAACTTTCTCATTATATTAATTTAACAGTGGCTGGACTTTTTCTGGACAGACCTTGTATGTTCTTTGTGAATAGGCATTTTTATTCATCTGCTTTTTATAATATTTTCCAGTATACATTATTGATATACATATTGACAGAGTTTTGGTCATCATTAGAACCTTACCTTTAGTTCAAGTTGCCTTTTCAGCATCAAATAATCAACTAAATGATTACATTGCATTTTCCCTATAAAAGACCCTGATATTCACAGAGTATTGGTGCTGCATGAGGATAATATACTTCCCTAGAAAAAAATCCTTTCTCTATAGTTAAATGTTATTAGTGAGGTACAGAAGCCCTCTGAGAATGTTGTTTTAAGTGTAATTAATTTTAACTCTACTGATTCACAATGCACATTATTTGGAATTTGCACTGAGTTAATCTATGCTTGTCTCATGCTCTCTCTTTGGGAAATAGTTTGTGAAGCTAATTAAATGATATCAATAATATTAAGAGAAATATTACCATTCACTAACAAAATTATTCTTAAAGGAATATTTTTGGTCCTGGCTGGTGTAGGTCAGTGGATTGAGCATGGGCTGCAAAGCAAAGGGTCACCGGTTCTGGTCAGGGCACAAGAGTGGGTTGCAGGCCAGGTCCCCAGTTGGGGGCATGTGAGAGCAACCTATTGATGTATGTCTCACACATTGATGTTTTTCTCCCTCTCTTCCTCCCTTCCTGTCTTTCTAAAAATAAATAAATAAAATATTTTCAAAAAGTATTTTCACACCACTCAGTCAAATGCAAACAGTTATGACATTAATTACACTTCTGTTTTTGTGCATTTATTTAATATTGATTCACTAGTAGCTGGTGAATTTTTATGTATTTATATATGAAACAATGAAGTTTATCATAAAACTTTTTAAAATTAAACTAGGATTTTCATCCAAGGTGTCCTAAATGACTGCGATTAAAAGCTTTAGTTTTTATAAATTGTATATACACACATATTGTGCACCAAACTGTGTAGAAAATTATCTTTTAGTAAGTCTGGATATATGATTTCATCTGGCTATAGGTCATGAATAGTTTTCTTTTTTATCATAAATGTTATGAACTATAGCCATACCTGTTAGTTAAAAGGGAAAAATCTCTTTTAATGTCAATAAGCTTCTGGTTATTTATTATCAAACTCGACTGCTGTTTGTCATTATACAAAAAAATTAACTCAAAATGGATCAAAGATGTAAATAGAATGCCTGAGACAATAAATTACATCAAAGAACACATAGGTGGTAAACTTACGCACCTGGGTCATAGAGAGGCTTCTACGAATTGACCTCAAAGGACTGTATCAAACAGCAAAGCAACCTGCCAACAAAACAGAAGGTCAGCGTTAAGATGAATTAATACTGGGAGAAGCTCTAGAGATGTCTTGAATGAACTATACTTTATAGAAAATTATTATGTAAACAATGATATTGCATTGTTCCACCACACTTTTGAGAAACAATTTATGTGAAACATTACCTGCCCTTGACTTGGGGCACCACCCCAGTACATTCAATAAAAAATAAAAGGTTATGTGTCAACTATTTTCCAGTTTAATCCAAAAATCAGAAAAATTATAAAAACCATATGATTTTACTCATATGTGGGGCATAAAAGTGAAACTCAGAAATATATGCTTCTAACATATATGGTCTTACCAGTGTCACCCCAATACATTTAGGAAATCAAAGTAATATGTAATAAATCATCTTCTTTCAGTTAAAATGACTATATAAATTTGTGTATCATAAATAGGCGAATGTTTCAGTATTGTAACTATATTTATTGTTGCAAAATTTAAGGCTCCTCGATGAATTGCTTTTATGATGACCAGTAAATTAAATTTTCCTTTAAAATATAGTTATATGCACATAGTTTATAATTCAGTATCACCCCAAATATGTAAAGTTCTACCTTCCCCATTTCTGAAATATGAGTCTGTAGAAGTGTAGGATATTTAGAATTTTAATTTCACAGTAAATGGTTATTTAATAGAAATAGTTGGTGTTAATGAGAGTCAGCTCTTATACATCTTATACTTTCACTGTAAGGGTGATAAGATAATGAGTATTTGCACTGCATATCATTTTGGAGATTTATAGGATCATGAATTTATCATTTTAATTTGTAGTATTGCCTTTCCAGAGAATTGATGTTTTTATTATGATGCCATATCCTTTATTATAGCGAATAACATTTCTTGTTCTAAAGTTACATTTCATAATCTAAGTACTCTGTTCTTATTTAACTAGTGTTTGTATGGTATAACAATATCTGCCTGGTATTTCATACCTATTGGCATTTGAAAACTTTACAGAAACCATATAAAGGAGCTTTAGAAAGTGTTATAGTTTAACACAAAGCATTTCATGTCTGTAGTTTATTGTGTTGTTAAACTTATTCATTATTATTTCAGAAAATGAGTAATACAGAAATTAATTATCTTTGAGATAATTGTAGCTATACTTCATTCTTGAAATAAGGCATTTTAAAGTTCAATATACTATATTTTCAAATTAATTTAATTTATTGTTAGATATATTCTCAGATTAATTAATTAGATTCTTAATCAAATGGTTTGTTATAATTGCTTAGTTCATTATATGTCTCAGTGACTGGTCCTCCCATTCATTTTGCTTCTGTCCTCACTTCCTATCACTTCCTGATATATATCAATGGACTTTTATGTACAGATCAATGAGCATAGTTTCCATTTATAGTCACAAACACAATTAAAAATAAGTACATTTGGGAGACTAAATGAAAGTATCGTAATGATGAAAATGAGATTCCATCTACCCACTCCTGGTTATTTGTGTTTTCTGTAGGAATTGTTTTTTGACAAATGAAGGACCCATTGTGGAAATATTGGAAGTCTATTGGAAGTCCCCAATGTATCTGTATATAGATTTTTAATTTGTCCTGTGGCAATGATGTGTTTTAAGTAGCTAGGAAAATATGCCTTTGAAATCTACATTTTACCTTTTGTCTCCCACCCTCACAGCCGCAGAGATAACCGTGCAGCCGACCTTGGAGGAGGTCTCGGACACCTGCACACAGGAGTGCCTGATCCTGGGCCACTCTGATGCCTGCTGGATGCCCGCCGCCCTGACGCGGGCCAGCCCCCTGCACACGCAAGCCTCTGTTCCACACCACAGCCCGTCGGAGACACTGACCTCTGCTCGCCACCGCCACCGCCACCGCCACCGCCACCGCCGCAGCCCTCCAGTGGCCGAGTTCATCGCCCTGTCTCACAGCCCACCACGGGCACAGGTCTTCGCACCCCAGCCCAGTCCACCTCTGCCCGCCTCCGCTCTCCATGCCAGCCCTCCCCTGGGCCAGGCTGCTGCCCCCCAGCACAGCCCTGCCCAGCCGACGTGGCCTTTGCAGCAGGGAGGGCCAGCTAGCGGGCTGTCTCACTCTGTGTCTGAAACAGCTCATTCTACTGATGAGTCAGTGGAAGGCATTGCCTTGAAAACCTTCATGGCAGGCCTACAGGCCAGAGCCTCTCGGGATGATGACGCTCCTGTGAAGGAACATCCCTTCTAAAGTCACAGTTCTCAACAGGACATATATCGTTAAGATTTCAAATCCAGTTTCATGACTATTCCAAATTGTTAGTTTTGTACATAGTTATATAAATAGAAACAGATACCAGAACAGACTCTAGAGCTAGACACCCTTAGTCAAAACACAAAAGTAAATTCACAATTTGTTTACTTCAGAATGTGTACTTAAAAAGAAATTGAAACACTCGTTCCCCTTTGTACAGAAAGGCTTGCCGTGTAAGACAGTGATATGGAATGTACAGTGTTTCTGATGCACCGTGACTGTTCATTTATTGTTGACATGTGCAATATTACTGATTGTGTTTCCATTCTGATGTTTGTAGTACATAGCAAGTGGACTAGCAAATATCTGATTTTCCAAGAGTACCTTTAGTTTATCTCAACTTTTGTTCAAATAACATTAGAAGGTGGATGTAGGGCAGCATCTTTGTATGTCTTTTTGTTTGATACTTGTTGCTCTCTAGTTTTTTTTATTACTGTTTGTACGAAAATGCACAGTACCACGTGTAAATAATTTATATTTTGTCTGTCTTTTTTATGTTTTCTACCTTTATTTGGAGAATATATTGTGCAGAGAATTTGTATAGACCTTTTCAGTAACAAATATATATACACTGTACAGATTTCTGTCTAACCTATTCTCTACTCTTTAGTAGAGTTCGAGACGTTGAAGTGCAATATGTGCGCCCAAATGGGTGTCTTTCTACGAAAAATTATTTTTGTAATGTAGTGTAAAGTGCATCAGAAATTATGTTGTATCTGCAGTTTAAGCCTATGTTCCATGATTAATTAGATGTTTATCTTCTGCAATTTGTATATAAGAACCTGGAAATCACAAGAAAAGTGGACGCATTTGATGAATGATTCATTAACAGCCATGACCGGAATCTGCTATTTTCTAAAGAATAAATAGCAGGAAGTTTTAAATGGTGATGTGAGAGTTGAAAAGGCTGATACCAAAAGACGGTCAGTAAAAAGAATACACAAATTAATATAACTAGATAAAACCACATAACAAACCTATATGACTAAGGGATTTTTCTCATTCTAGCTCAACTTCCTGAAGAAAACCACTGATAACAAGATGAGAATCCAGACATACAATCCTAAATCTACAGGACAGGGTTTTAAGAAGATGTGCAGAGGGAGAGATAAGGTTCATGACGGCTTCTTGAGGTAGATAAGAAATACCCCAAGAATGCAATAAACAAAAACAACAGTGACCAAATCTATATGAAAAGGAAACATGTTCTAAGTGAAGAATACAGTACCATTCGTAGGGAACATTAGTTTCCTTCCGTCATCCTTTAGTTCCTTTGTTGTCCTTCTGGCTGGCCGGTTTCACCAGCGGTGCACATGTGTGCACATTTCACCAATTTACAGAAACAGCACCAACTTCATTTTTTTCCACAGCAAAACACAGACAATGTCTTGTTTCAGTATTACACTAAACTAAGACACAGTTGATGTATTCATTGGGGGTGGGGGGGTGAATAGTTCTTGTTAGTTAAAATTAGATGTAGACTTTGTGACGTGTAATTTGGAGATCTGTAATTTATGATGAAACTGTGTGTAAATGTTGTACTATAAAGTGTGGTGAATGTATAATTTCATTGGTGAAGGTTTCCACTGAATGTTGAGAAAGCTTCTCTTCTTGTGCCCAGCAGGTTACGTAGCGACTGAGAATATATTGTTCCCGTTGGGAAGCATATTTGCTTTAGTGTGTAGAACGACTTCTTAACTTTTAACCACAAGAATCTAATTACTAAAATTTCAACTGAATTAGTATTATTGATATTGTTTCTGCTTTGTGTTTGTTAAATATTTTAAACCTGGAGATGACGCTGAAACCCTTCCAGTAGACTGTCAGCTGTTTTTTTTCCTCTGAAAACTTGCACAGATAATGTGTGAGAATTTCCTCTTCTATTTTAGTTATTTTCACATTTTTCCTCTGTACATGTTAGTTAGGATCTACAAACACACAGTTAAATAAAGACAAGAGACAAAAAGGAAAATCTGAAAAAATTCATTAAGTAATATGTTAGGAATATGACTGGTTACTACATTAATAAAAATCAGAATATGAACCAAAGTTAGGTAGTTCAGATATTTTTTGTGCTTTATTGAGTTATAAGTGTGCTGTTAAGTGCTCCTGTCTAAAATTAGCAAAATTCGAAGACCTCTCCTAGAGACACGGGAATGAACCAATACGCTTTACTGCATGGTCAGACTTACATTGTGTTCAGAATGTTAAAACACTGGGCACCCTCTTCGGGGTCTGTACCAGAGAAGCCTGGAATGGAAGTGGGCTAGAACTAGCCAAAGAGGCGAGGGGTGTGAGTCCAGTGATTCTCCCCTATGCATTCTCTTTCAAAGCTTCCTTGAGGTCTGGCCTTGGCAACCTGTGACTTCTGAGGCGACAGATCTGATGAGACCTTTCTCATTACACTGCAAATTCTTGGACTGCGTAGCCAGAGCTACAGGTTGACATAGTTCACAGGCAGCTCTTTGGATGAGCAAAGTCTTTAGTTGCAGAGCTAGAGAAAGTTTTGTTCTTCCATCACTGCAAAATAATACCCTTGGAAAAAAGAAAGATTTGATTTAGTTTGAAATTCGAACTTCAAATTGAAAGACAAGTGTGGTAATATATTCAGTGAGACTGGCTATTCAATTTTGTGGCTATGTTCAGTTACATGTGATTAAGACTTTACTTGCTGTAGTGTTTCTGTATCACATTTATAAGTATCTATTGAAACACCTTGTATCTTATGTGCTACGTGCATACACATTGTTTTCTTGAATTTTATCTTCAAGTTTAAGCTAATACTGTGTGGGTGTATTAAAAACAAAGTTACATATGATACAAAAAATGTGATAAACTTAGAGAGTACAGTTTGTGTGGTCTAATTTAGCTATTGAACCTTTTCTGTCTGGTAATGTAAATTTGGTCAGACAACACAGCTACCAAATGATGAGTGCTATTGTGTATTGGTGACAGTTAAGAGCCTCTGCCTTCCCAGACTCATATTTGTCACACACTGCCATGAAGATGGATAAACATGGACTAAAGACAATCACAAACTGTGCAGTCCTTATAATGTCATCATGTCACACCCCAAAAACTACCGACCCGTGTGCTTTCAGTGACTGTGATTTGTTGACAGCAGCCGAAGGCTACTCACAAAAACATGTGCGCAAATGAAACAAAGTGAAGACAATTGTTTAGTGATTGTGATATTTTTAGAAATCAAATGTGTGAAATTTATGCTATCTCTCCTTAAAGTACTTGGGATTTTATGAAATATAGATTAATGTTTGTATTTTGAGAAGATTCTTCCTCTGTGACATTATACAGCATCTGAAATGAACAGCATCCCGAAGCAGCTCCAATCAGGCTTCGGAAATGAGACGGTTTGACATTGTGTGGCTCAGAACGGCGTGATGTGCTATGGATTGTACACAAATGTGTATGGATTGTTCTATTTCAGGTTCTGTATTGCATGTTTTCTTATATTCATTAATAAAGGTATTAATAAAGTTATAAAAATAAAGATGCACTTGTATTGTGTGTTAATTCAAAACTCAAAGGCATTTTAAATTGGTTTTTAAATTCATGTAGAGTAGCCCTGGCTGTTATAGCTCAGTGGATTGAGCACGGATTGCGAACCAAAGGGTCACCGGTTCAATTCCCAATCAGGCCATATGTCTGGGTTGTGGACCAAGTCTCCAGTAGGGGACACTCAAGAGGCAACCACATATTGATATTTCTCTCCCTCATTGATATTTCCCTCTCTCCTCGCCTTCCCCTCTCTAAAAATAGATATATAAAATCTTTAAAAATAACATATACAGTAAAACACACCTCAGTGGTGGTACAAATCCATGAGTTCCTTTTTTGTTTACAGTGTTAAGACCTTCACAATAATTCTTTGAATGCTCCCACTTTTTAAACTTGGTGAACAATAATGTAGTGTTTTAGGAGATTTCTTCTGCATCTCTCAAGACAAACTTAGGAGATATTTATATGGTGGACAAAGGGAGGCTTACAGTCATTCATATGGAAAATAATACAATAATTTAAATAAAAATTTTAATTAAAAAATAATACAATAAGGTTATTGCCTCATTTAATGTAAAAGTCACGTAAAGATTTCTCTATAGAGATGCCAATTAAAACCACAATGAGATACCACTTCACATTGGTGAGAATGGGCATCATAAACAAAGCAACAAATGAGTGTTGCAGAGGATTCAAAGAAAAGGGAACCCTAGCGCACTGTTGGTGGGATTGCGGACTGGTGCGGCCACTGTGGAAAACAGTATGGGATTTCCTCAGAAAACTAAAAATGGATCTGCCTTTTGACCTGGCAATTCCACTGCTGGGATTATATCCTAAGAGCCCCAAAATTCCAATTCAAATGAACCTATGCACCGCAATGTTCATAGCAGCAACATTTACAATAGCCAATTGCTGGAAGCAATCTAGGTGCCCATCAGTAAATGAGTGGATCAGAAAACTATGCTCCATTTACACAATGGAATTCTACACAGCAGAAAGAAAGAAGGAGCTCCCATCCTTTGTGACAGCATGGATGGAACTGGAGAGCATTATGCTGAGTGCAGTGGGCCAGGTGGTGAGGGACAAATACTATATGATCCCACCATTAACAGGAACCTAATCAACAACAACAACAAAAAAAGCAAGCAAAATAGAAACAGAGACACTGAAACTAAGAACAAACTGACAGTAACCAGAGGGGAGGGGGGATAATGGGGGAAAGGGGAGAAGAGTTTTCAGGAACATGTATAAAGGACACGTGCACAAAGACAAAGTGGGGTAGGATCAAGGGTGGGAGATGGGGATGGCTGGGGTGGGGGAGTTCAAGACACCTGTACCTGAACGACAATGAAAAAAAGTAAAATATAAATGGAATCATTTGGTTTAAAAAAGATTTCTCTACCTAACCCTTTAGGATCCAAGTGAAATAAGTTTCTGGAGAATGTTAATAATATCGGTGGAACAAAGTCACTCCACTGACAGCTTCACTTGTACTCATGTAGAGGAATCCAGTGCAGTGAAACCTCTCAAACTATATGTTAATAGCAGTTGCATTTGGCGTTTTTATTAGTCCTGGAGTTTCTTTTTTTTAAATTTTATTTAGTTATTTTTCAAGTACAGTTTTTTGTGTATTTCTCCCATCCCAGCCCCCCCGCCCCGTGCTCCCCACCTCCCTCCCATTTCCACCCCCCTTAGTTCTCATCCCTGTGTCCTTCCTATCTGTTCCTCCAAATCCCTCCCCTTTTTTCCCCTTAAATTCCCTTCCCTCTCCCCTTTGGTCACTGTCCCTTGTTCTCTATTTCTGTGTCTTGGTGTTTATTCTGCTTGCTTGTTTGTTTTGTTGTTTAGCTTCCTGTTAAAGGTGAGATCATATGGTATTGGAGTTTCATTAAGATTTATAGAGCACCTAATCTGTTGTTTTATGTGTTCTTTATTTTTTACCCCTCTATTATTATGATACTGATTTACTCATTATTACCAATGGTTAGCTGATGAAGGAAGAAGAAAACAAAATTTAAATCAAGCAAACATTTAACCTTTGCCAAAAAAAAGACTTTTAGAAGTAAAATATGTGGGTCAGTTAATTTGTGTTATTTCCCAACCTGACTCCAGCCACAGATGGAAAAAACTCAGACTGCAGTGAAGAATACGTAGATTAGAAATCATCACATTACATGTAGACATTATCATAATAACCTTGGCAAGAATGATAAAAACCTGCAAAGGTGAATATGATGAATACGAAAAAGTGCTACACTGGAAAGAATGTTGAAAAATCTCTAATATTTCAGTAAATACAAAAAAGTGTGACCTAATATTTAGCTTGATTAAAAACATAATTGAACTCACTGATCTTATGGCCAGAAATAGGCACACTGACTTTTAAAATAAGTTTTTGATGGTGTAATAAAAATAGCTTCAAACAAAAGTAACTCCAAAAAGACAAACAATCCAATTAAAAAATGGTCAAAGAGCCTGAACAGACACTTCTGCAAGGAGAACATACAGATTTGGTAACAACACGATGTGGTTTTATAATAAAATTCTCTTTATTTTTTCTGTAGGTCTGAAGCTTCTCATTATAAAAATATGTTAGTATAAAAATCAGTTGTTTCATTTACTACCATTATTGGCTTTTGAAGAAAATATTTTTATCAACAAAACAAGCAAGCAAAATATAACCAGAGACATTAAAATTAAGAACAAACTGACAGTAACCAGAGGGGAGTGGGGAGGGGATAATGGGGGGAAAGGTGGGAGGGGTTTTTCAGGAACATCTATAAAGGACACATGGACAAAACCAAGGGGAGGAAGGGAAGGAGGTGGGGACGGCTGGGATGGGGCAAGGAGTGGTGGGGGGTAAATGCAGATGACTGTACTTGAAGGACAATAAAATAATTTTTAAAAAAGAACTTGAGACCCAGACAGGCTAGGTGACTTTCATGGGGTCCGCAAAATTTTCTAACAGAATTGCTTCTTCCTAAAAAAAAATTATATATTATATATGTATTTTTGTTATATATTTGGCATAGATTGATGTATTTTAAGGCAAAGCTGTCATGTATTGAAATATTCTCTTTCTTTTCCATTTAGGGCCTATTGAGCTATCTAGACCTGGGATTTCCAATATCTTGCCTGAAGAATGGGTAGAACCTTTTCAGAGACTTGTGCATCCTGCAGCAGCATTAACTCAAGAAGACAAACGTGTGTTAGTTCAGTTTCAATCAAGAAGCCATGTAGGGCACAGGTGGCAAACACAAGGCCCCAGGCCCGTGGGCCTAACCCAGCCCTCCACCTTGTTTTATCCCTCCCAGCACCTTGTTTCTACCCAGGGGCCCCAGGGGCCCACATCACTTAAGTGTTAAGGAGCAGTTACATTTATTCAGCCCTAAAGTTAAATTTGGCCCTTTGAAGGCAACCGTGAGGCTGATGTGGGCCCCGGTGAAAATTAGTTTGACACCCCTGATGTATAATGTTAGAATTTGGGGTGACAGACCTGTAGATATTAATAGCATCAAAACCACTAAACGAGTCTCCAGTAGTTGTAAAATAATCATTGTTACCGTGCAACATTATCTCAGAGAGTCTGCAATATCAATGTTTATCGCTCTATTCACTTTCCTGTTTGCTTTAGTTAAATTGTCATAGATTTTTACTCACTTGATCCTACCCTCATAAATATACAAAGAAAGTTGACCAGTGTTTCACCGAACACAAGATTTTTTTTGACAAGAGCTTGATGTTTTTCTGTACCTCTTCCCTTTTTTTTATGGTTTTGGTGTCTTTTTTCATGCTGTTCATCATCTTTATGATCATTACTCTAAACTGTCTATCTGATAAATTGCTTGCCTCCATTTCATCCAGTTCTTCTGAAAAATTCTCTTGCCCTTTCATTTGGGGTCTGTTTGTCTTCCCCTTTTGGCCACTTCCTTATATTTTCTGCCTTAGTTGTTAATCAGCTGTTAAACCAATCAGTTGTAATCAGTCAGGGTGGAGCAAAGAAATTCCTGTGGGCATGGCCTCTGCTCCCCTGCAGGCCGCTGCCTCTGACAGGGATGACTTAGCACCAGGGACTCCCGCAGCCGCTCCCTCCACTCACTCCCCAAAGCTTCTGTCCCCTCAAGCATCTCTAATCTCCTCTGCCACCCTCCTTTGCTGGAGCCCAGGGTAAGTGGTTGCAAATGAAATTTTGCACGGTGGCCCCTTAAGCGGCTCTCTCTGTGTCCAGCCTTCCATCCCTGGCAGACTGAATGCCTGGGGCTTTTCACAATTGGATGTTTTCTGGGTTCCTTCCTGGCTCTAGTGCTATAGGATATGGAGCTCTGCTTGGGGTTTAGACCCCACACTTCTCAGGGGGTACCATCCTGAGAACCCTCCCGGCAGCTGAACTATCTCTCCAGCACTTTGGCTGTCATCCATGAGAGCCCCACCAGCCCTCTTGCGTCTCCTCCACACTCCCTACCAGTCACATTGTGCTGAAGTGTTTTCTGTCTGTCCGTGGTTATAAGGCTTCTCTCCAGTTAGTGTTCAGTTGCTTATTCAGGATACTTTCCCTACAATTTAGTTCTAATTCCACATGGGCCCTGGGAGGAGCTTAGTATAGACTCTACTCACTCCTCTGCCACCCAAGCTTCCATAGCTAGTAGACTGTGGTGTTAACATTCCAACCATGGGCAGGGTCCAGGCAGCTGGAAATACACAGGGCAAGGGTGATGGGCCAGGTACAGAAGGTTCCCAGGGAGGAAAATGTTATACCTCTTCCTTCTTATATAGCATCTCATGACTATTCACCTTGGCATTTCTTTTGGTAGATTTTGCCATAAAGTAGGCGTTCTCACTTGTAACAAAAATAAAACTTACACTTGACTAATATTTGCCAACACATTTAAGAAAGGTTTACGGCAAACATAACTGGTTCAGAGAC